CCATTTATACTGACTTGCTGCTAAAGCCATGGAAAAGTACTGCCAACATGAGCTTCGAGCATGGGAGATGAAGAGGTGTCACAGCAAGTCCGCCGCAATTCACATGATTGCTGAGTACGCCATCAGCATGCAGAGGCAGCAGGAACTAGTTTACTTCCGAAGCATGGCAAGCGCAAGCAGCAGCACGCAGCCCGCTGGCTTGGCAACAAGGCGCAGCAATTCGTAATTTGCTGAAAGTTTTTCAGACCGGGATCAAATACGCAACCCCCCCCTTGTTGTTGCCTCTAGCGCATGTTTTGTCCATACCCCTGGTACTCCCATATCTGCAAGTGTTTTGGCACTCCCTGAATAGTCCTGCTTTGGTATTTCCGTAGATTTTCCTTAGTGTTCCTCTAGGTTTCCCCAGTCCGAAAGCATTATCTTACCGCTATATTGCCTTAGTAATTCTTTCTATTTTCGTACTGCGCCCCATTTTCCAAGCATTTTTGCCGGGAGGAGGAAGAATGGCGAATAAGGAGTATATTGCGGGAAAATCCGACGGTGCATTTGTAAGAAATATGGTGCTTATGAGGGTTGCGGCAGCACCGTCAAGTGTAACGTCAGGGAATGATGGCTGAGGCCTGTCGTAGGCCCATTCATGCCCGACGCCTGTACCATCAAGCGTCTCATGCTACGAGACACTTACACATAACATGTCTGGGGCCCAAACATAGCCAGAAACACTCAACGTTGACGGCCACCGAACGTGCGCTGTGCGCAGGCGTCGTTAACATCCCCCGTGCATGCGGTTGGAACACCCAACAAGCAAATGTCCTTCTCCCTGCCGCACTCGGCGTCGCATGCTGTTCATCTGTTCGGTTGGCATTGTCTTGTGAAACCTAATGGTCCGCGACTGACTGCTGCGCGCAATACATGATCCATTGACGTGAAACACATGGCTCTGCGCACAGGCCGCACACATCGATTCAGATCGGCAATGTGTAAGAGAATTTCATCTGCAACTATCCCCCGGGTCGAATTCGAATCACTGCAGAACACCAAACTCATCGAATCAATGAAAAGGCTTCCCGTCGCCATCTCTGATGTCTTCAGCGTAGGCAGAAGAAATAGAAATAAACTATACGGTAGACATGGTTCTGCACTTCCGGCTGTAGTCACATCCTTTACTGGTTGGGCCATGCATATGTTTGGAATGCTGATTGTATTGCCACATCACACATTGGGAAAACCATGAATGAATGTGTATTGTTGGAAATATGGAACTGCATATGTGCGCAAGTGGTGCTCGGGATGAATAGTCACGTGGGTTTCATGGCAGCGCGGTACCAATGCAAACCAACCCCTGCCATTCATCCACTCGAGGCATCCGTGATGATACACCGTTGTGCCACACCGGAATGCTCCAATTCATTAACCCGGTCTCTGAGTATGATGATGCACCTCGCGAGGTCTTTATTTTACAACGTGGTGTTGGCATTCACGTAAGCGCCGACGTAGTTTGCCTGGTTCTGCACAGTACCTTCATCACTGTCTCCATTGACAGGATGTAGGTCACCTATCACTGGATTCATGTCGAACTCCCATCTGCTGTTGCCCTTCCGGCCTTCTTCGTGTTCTCATTATCGGGCGCGGTCCGTCTTTCGAGTTCAGCTTGGCTAGATGCGAAGTCGTCATTGTTGGGGCCGATGTCGCGTTCGACCGAGTCAACTCTCACTGCCAGAGCCTGCAGGCTACTCGTCATTCATGAAACCAATTTGTCTCCCAAAGCTTACTACCATTGCATCAACATGACTCTGGCGTTGTATGAATGAATCCCGATACATCTGCATAGTTGGGTCGGTAACATTTGGGCGTCCGTCACCGTACTCCTTAGATACATCTGCATGTTTTGCAGACATGTTGATGCCGACACTTGTCCAGACATCCCCGTGAGGTCGGTCTCCTTGAGGTGTTCGATCTTCGCATCTTCCTTTCGCGTGTCAAAACAAAATTGTAGTCCTGTGAATAACGGTCGGCCTCTTGCATTCGGTCCACAGCGCAGCGAAACCTCTGACCCTACTACTTCTCAGGCGCTAGAGCACCTTCTCTCTCGCCTACATTGAACTCGTAGCCCTCGAATCCTTGTCCACAAGCCCATGCAAATAGTTCACGTGAGTGTGCCCATTCACGACCCGATCTACTGCTACCAGCTCGCGCCTCTTGATGTCGATCCGGTCTTTGCTGGGCATGGCCCCATCAAGAGGTTGAACGGCGAGTCTCCTTGTAAACACGCTCGGTCGCGGCGCATGATCTTGCTCTTCCGTTCATTCTTGGTAAGTCGAAAGTTTTTCTCCTTGCACGTGCGGGTCAGTGTCTCGACTAGTCGGCCATTTTGATCAACCGGATCCCGGGGCCTGAGTTCCCTCACCGTCGATCTTCTGGATGTGCCGCTCGGGAGGCGTGTTGTGGGCTGGTCGCGCCGGTCATCTCGCGCAGCTCGTCATCCACCCCGCTTGTCGCGTCTTGTCCTGGCAGGCTTCGCCCAAAACCGACAATCATCAGGTCAATGCGCTCGAGGCGGTATTTCACGCTGCTGTTATGTCGCTTAAGTTCCTCCTCGACGCCATCGGTCCTTCCATGCGTGCACTCGTCGGTCACACGAAACATGGTCCCTTCGTGGCCAGACCCGCCGGTGCTTGCCATCCCGGCGACGTGGCCTGGTCACCATCCTGCGCTCGGTCTCGTTGCGGCCCTAATACTACAGGAAGTAGCGCCGACATCCCAGGCCCTACAGATTTTGGGGCGCCACGAAAAACGCGCTGAGACGGCAGACATTGGCCTAACTTTGAGGATGCGCTTGGCTGGCTGGAGATTTCTCGCGGGCCTTTGTGTTTCTTGCCCTCTGCGCCACAGGCTCACAGGCTGCGGCGTGGGCCCCGCGCGGCTCCCTCTGGCGGCGCTCCCTGTACAGTTCCGGCTTGGTGGGCCGCATGCGACCAGGACTTGATCTTGCCTGCGCTAGAAACAGACCCGTGCCGAGAATTCTCTATGGAGAAAACGGCCGCGGCTGCCACCCGAGTAACTTAGGGCAAACTTATAAGTTCGTTCTTAGCTTCCATAAGTTAACACACAATGCTCTTTCAACAGTTAGGTTATAAGTAAAAGAAGTAGTTTATGCGTTCCAGAAGTTATTTCCAACGTAGTGGTCTTGATCCTATGAACCATGTCATCGATTTTGGCAGGCGTGTTGTTTTGCCACTGGGAGCCCATTCCTCGAAACATGCCAGTCGGCGTTCGATGCCACGGTCGACTCTGAGCGAACCTTCAATATCTTAGATCTAATATTCGCTTGTTCAATGCACTGAACTTGTCGGTGAGTCCCTTCACTAAGGTCTTCGCATCATGCTATTTGCCGTCTTTGGTGAACGCAAGATCATGGAACCACTCTTCCACGCGCATGTTTGTGTCATGTGTCTTGTTGCGCGCCCCCCTCTTCACGGCGTAGTGCGTCATGTAGATCACGAAACAACATGCGCACGTCAGGCATGTGTCCTGGGTCCCCGAACGTCTCATTCACCACGCACATAGGTTCAACTGCGTCAACCACAGGTGTCACGCGAACCAGCATCGCAATCGCTAGATCATTTGGACTACGACCTGTCTGATCACCCTTCTTGCGAGTATCGAAGTTCTGCAGAGTTGCGGTCAGATCGAAAAGTTCGCGCCGTCAGTCTTAGCAACTTTCATGTTTGGAATAGCAAAGGCCTCAGCCCAGTTACGGTCCTGAAATCTAACGAAGCGACTGTCCATCTGTTTTTGTTTGACGGCCGCTGCGTTGACTGAATTAATTGCCTCTCCACCTTCCTCTTGCTTCATCCGACGTCATGTGGCTTCGGTATACGTCGCCAAACCGCGTAATCCTTCGAAGTCTTGCATAATTTTCGCAAAGCCCTGCGCATCCAGCTGAACATTGGTGGGAGCTTCCTTCCGGAATCATTCCCAGACTTCTCGAAATTGCTAGTCAGCGCAGCGCAGAATATCACACCCTGCGTGGCCATAGCGGCGGGCACAAAGAGCTTCCGAAGAACCCATCTTTACGATGTCCCCATTGTAGGCCACAGCTGCTGGCCGTTGAGGATGTGGAATAATCCGCACCGCAAGATACTCGTAAGCAAATATTTTCGTGTGTGTACCACGCGCAAGTTGCACAGATTTCGCAACTATTGCTGAGTCATCGTTGCGTGTTCACGCTCTTTCCTTAGGCCCACACCCTCTCCCTCGATAGCCTTGGGCTTCGTCAATGAAAAATCCACCGGAACACACACCGATTGGATGGGAATCAGAAAGTGGCAGGGCCGGCTGGGTCAGTGACCCAATACCTGTTGGGAGGCCCCGCTCCTGTCCGTGATGAGGGTTGCGCCAGCACCGTTACGGCCACGGAACGTGCGCTGTGCGCAAGGGTCAGTAACAATTCCCATATGTTTTGTAGCATTCCCCTTGGTATTCCCCTACTCTCTCAGCTCTACATATTTGATTTCTGGGTGTTTCTTTTGAGTAGTCCCAATTTTCGGCTGCGGGTTTCTGGCGCCTGTGTGTGATGTTTTGGCGGCTTCCGGCTTTTAGGCGCCTGGTTCTCCCCTGCTATTGTTGTCGCCGGGTGGCCGGTGTTTTGGCGGGGCCGGTGTTTTTAGCACGTTGTAAGCCTGCTTCTCGGGTCTGGGTGTTTTCGGGCGCCTGGTGTGTTTTTGGCGCGCGCTGCGGGGGGAGGACGCTTCCGTGTTTGCGGGCGCGCCTAGTCTTCCTGCCTGTGTTTTCGGCGCAGGGTCGCTGTCTGAACTCTTTCGGCGCTTGGCCCTCCCCCCGTACAACTCCACCCTAAACCAACCCCAAACTAACCCAACGCTCCAAGCCAAAGCTAAAGCAACCCACCTGAAAGGACACGAAGCCGATGACCCAATCACTCCTGCTTGTGGTTCGAAAAACGTTCGAAGCCAAAGCAAAACGCAACACCCTTATCTCGCCTGCCGGGAATGCCAGCCGTGAGTGTTTGAGCAGGCAGCGATCAAGCCTTGGAGCGCAACGGTCCGAGAAAGAGCCAACTCAATTTGGGGTATCGTTCCGGGAGTAGCGCGCCGGAGCTGCCACATACCCACTGGTCTCCAAATGGAGCAATTTCATCCACCAGGTCGACTCGCACGAACTTGTAAAGGCCCAGCTTTCACTTTGCAATTGGGTGACTTCCACCCTCCTTGCCCGCAGCAAGAAAACATCAAAGAACACCAAGCACCTGTCCAGGCGCTTGACTCATAAGGGGGCTGCGAAATGTCCCAACCTGCAATGTCACACCACCTCTGCTAGGTATTTCCCTGTGTTATGGCAAATATTCTTTGCAATTCAGGAACTTGTGACTGCTTTGGGGCCCGCAAGTGTTGCAGTTTTACCACGGAGCAAGCAAAACACATTTTTCTCTCCTGATCTTGTCAGGCTGAGGCTAAACAAAGCCTCCCCAAAAATCTGGGCCAAACAACTTGTCAGAGAAGCCGAGCAAAAAAGAACCGGGCAAACATGAGAATTTTTGAAGTGGCCCCGAACCATCAGATTTAAGATCACTTCCTTACAAAAAAAAGTGCGGGCAAACGGTCAAACAAGGGGGCAAGGGGCCCTGATCCTCCTTGATGCGACTGCTTTGGGGTCCTCTTTAGTGTCCAATGTTTTTGGGCTTGCTGGAATTATTAAGCTCAAGCTTTAACGTTTTTACTGCTAGGGTGGCTCACCTAACCAAGCTCTTCCCAGCTCAGAGGGTAAATGCCTTGGATCTAGGAAGTTCACTCTGCCAGCGGCCCAAACCATCGAATTTAGGATTTCTTCTTACAAAAAAGTACGGGCAACCAGTCACACAAAGGGGGGGTTGCCCTGACCCTCTTCAATGTGACTGTCTTGCGGCCCTCTTTAGTGTCTAACCTTTTTGGGGTTGCTGAAAAAGGCATCTATCTGCGCCTGACCTTGCGAAGTCCGCGCCTGACCTTGCGCAAGCGCTGCGCCTGCCACGAGAACTGTACTTCACCCTGCAAAAGTGTTGCGCCCGCCAAGAAGCCTGTACTTGACTAGTTGACCTGCCATGGAAACAACCGTCTTTCACCTGACCTTGCAAATCTGCTTGCCACGAAAACTGTACTTCACCTTGCAATAGTGTTGCGCCTGCCACGAACTCTGCACTTGACCTTGCGTGGGAAAGAATGCTGCGCCTGCCACGAAATCCGCACCTCAGGTTGACAAAGTGCTGCGCCTGCCACGCGATTTGCAATTCCTTCTCTGTCTTTCTCCTGCTCTCTCGTTTTCATCTGTCTATGCAGCGCCAAAGCGCTGCGCCTGTCACGCGATTTGCACCTCTGGAACAGTTTGCGCGTGCCCGTGGTGAGACTGTGCGCAAAACAGGGCTTGCCTTCGAGTGCTTCGTGCGTGGGATATTACGGAAGTTTTCTAACCAAACTCCCTCCTGACTGGACTTCCTTTGAATATGGAAGCATACAGTTCTACGTGGGTTCAATTTCGAACGAGTGGGCGGACGGGATTGGTTTGCGGTAGGCTAGAACTCTGCAACCATGGTTTCCGAATATGCCACTCAGCGCCTATAGCGCGCTGAGAGCATCGAATGGTAAGCGACGTTTCGACGCCGTCTGTTGCCTCTCGCGTTTGGCGAGAATGCGGCCGCGATTTGGCGAGAACAGTTTGGTGGACTGGCTGCGTTTGGCATCGTCAAACGCCGTGTGCGCAAAAAGGTGTCCGCCTCGCGCGGTTGGATTGTGGAACCGATGCATTTTCCATGCTTCCGCGGCGCATTTCCATTGGTGGTGCATTACATGTGCACATGGTGAAATTACGGCATTCGAAACATTCGCACGGTCTAACATTTCATTGGTATGACCAGGACCTGAAGCACAACATCGCGATGATCACTGTGCACCGCAGTTTTCCACCTTTGCGCCACAAGAATTCGCCTTGCATACCACTGTTCCCCCTGTGCACCACAAGAATTTCCCACACATACCGCAATTTCCTTCTTTGCGCCGCAAGACTGTCCCTTGTCCCTTTTATGCTTGAGTTTCTCCCCTTCGCACCACGAGAATTCGCACTGTTTCCCCCCTCGCGCCACAAGAATTTCCCACGCATACCGCGAATTCCTTCTTTGCGCCTCAAGAACGTCGACCCTTGTGTACTGCAGTTCCCCTTTCGCACCGCAAGAATTTGCCCTGTGTACCGCAGTCTCCCCCTGTGCACCACGAGAATTTCCCACGTATACCGTGCTTTCCCCCTTCGCACCTTCTGGTTTCCCCACACAAGAATTCCGCGTGTCTATTACAGCTTTCCCCTTCTGCGCCACAAGAAGTTCCCCCCCTTTGCACCACAGGCAATTGTCCCTGTCCTGCTTATGTTCATCTGAAGCTGGCTCATTTATTGACGCATCCTCCCTCAAAAACATCGTCTTTGCGCGCCAACCTTGAAGACCCGACATTGAGCGCACAAGGTGGCTTCAGCCGGCATGTGACCAAGGGAGGGCAGCTAGTGTGAGCCTGCCGACTGCGCGGTACACGGGTGGGATTCTTGCCGGGCGAAGGAAACTGTCGTATTTGTTGCGGTGCTAAGGGGGGAGTTGAAGAGCGGAATTCATGTGGCGCAAAGCGGAAAACTGGTGTATACAAGCGGAATTCTTGCGGCGCAAAAGCGGAAAACTGCAGTAGACAAGGGGAATTCTTGTGGCGCAAAGGGGGAAATCTGCAGTATACAAGGGCCACTCTCGTGGTGCATAATTGCGGTGTACGTGGGAGATTGTGGCGCAAAGGGGGAGATTGTGGTGTAAAGGAGGAAAACTGTGGTATGCAGGCGGACGTCTTGTGGTGCGAGGGGGAGACTGCGGTATAGCTTGGTGGTGCAAAGCGCGGCAATCTGTGGTAAACAGGGAGAATTGAATTCTCATTAGCGGGAACCTTTTTTTAAAGCGCTGCAATTTCGTGGTTTGCGCGGCGCTAGATTTGTGATGCGGCTTCTGCGCGACTGCCTCAACAGCACAGGCCTCCGGCCATGGCTCCTTCCCCTATGTTCACGCAGCCGGCGTGGCTTTACTCGCTCTGCGTCACTGTTTCAAAGCCGTGGGTCTTCGCTGGACATTGCCAAATGGTTGCAACCTCGCTGGTGCACTTCCTGGCTTGCATTTGGGGCACTGGGTGACTCTGATGGGGCAAGGACAGTGAAGATCTTACAACTTTGGGCAACACAGTCTTTATAGTGCCTTAGAGCGACCGCGGCCTGCTTCTACTGGGGAGGCGCTTGCAAAGCAAGGCCCCAATGGTTCCTTCACGGGGAAAACCACTTCTTGTGGACAGTGAAGTGTATCCGGAGCTTTTGCCAGCGCTGTGGCAGATGCTGTACATGGCTGGCAGAAAATTTGTTGCTGCACGTGCCGAATAATTTAATACTAGACATTTGCGGGTGATGTATGGAAAAGCAGGACGCCTGAAATTGAGACATGACAGGTCAGTTGTTGGCGTATTATTCGCACTCGTGCTTGCAAAAAAACCCCGCGCTGCTCATTGCACTTTGCCTGCAGGTGAAAGCCGAGCGGAATCTTCAGGACTATTCATTCAGTCTGATGTGGAGCTCTCAACCTCATCGCTGCTTTTGCAATCTTCAAGTTAATCTTGGGTCAGCGACCAAGCTCTATACGCGAACACGCCTGATTCACCTCTCGGCCTCAAATATCTCCCTCTTCTGGTTTCTGGCTTGTTGCTAAAAAGCGTGCCGAAAGGTGTCACGCAGTCGTCTGATCGATGATGAACTGACTAGTTCTCTCGGCCAATGAGTTGCTCTGTGGCCTGCCAGATAATGACAAACCACGCTTTATCTTATTCTGCGCATGAGTTTGGGGCATCGTCGGAGTGGGCTTGCTTGATCTTCCGAGATGTTTGATCGCCTTGACGATAGCCTCGGCGTTCTTCCTCCCCGACGAATATACCATGATCATCCCAGTGCAAACATCTCGTAGAACCACTACATGCTGCCCATCGATGTATTGTTCGCCCGATATTTCAACCAGGTCGAAGGGAATGAGGTTGCCGAAAACCTTAACTTCTCTTTGAACGCACAAGTCTTCGTTCTGAAATGCCGCCTTCATGCGTGGTTCGCAGGCTGGACTTCTAAACCTGTGAGCGGGCGCATCTTTTTCAGAACGCCCGTTGTTCTCTTTATGGACGAGCCTGCACACATGTCAACCTCGACCCTCGCGTCTGGGGCGGCATCATCATCCTCAGCCTCTGCGCACTTTGCCCCATTCTCGTCGATGGTGGGCACTGGCCCACCACCGTCCTCGGCGGTTGGTTGCAGGAGCCTTGCCGACTCCACCAGGTTCCGGAATCAACCGCAACGAATGGTACTTTAGCACGTAAACTTCTCCTGGTGTAGCAGCGCTTACAAGGACATCATCATCGTCATCGAGATCGAAATGTTGGATGACGCTGCGAACAAATTTCTTTCGGTTCATGATGCAGCGACTTGACGTGCGCCGTCCGTTTGCTCTCAGCTTCTTCTTGTCCACTAGGTATGGAAGGTCGTCCATGACACGCAGATGCACAATCTCATACTTGGGCGCAATTGAACAGTAATTTGCCGCTTATCCAGTGGAAGGAATTCCATTCTCATGCATTTCATTTCCAATGGAGTCTCGTCCAACACAAATGGCTCAACAGTCTTGTTGATCTCATCGGTGTGGTACTTCAGAGTGTCGCAAGCGCCTGTGATTCCCAAAAGCCGTCTGGAATGCCATTGCATCCGCGCCTTGCGCCGTATCCTTGCCCGGACGTATCGCCTAGTGTCCATCGACCATTTCGCACCACGAGTTTGACTGGCTGATGGTGCGAATAGACTGACCGGCGCGCCGTGATGTTTCTCCCACGCGACACTTCTCGTCGTCCGTGGGTGGGAAGTGTGGTCTGTAAATGTCATCCGCAGCGTCTTTGACAACTCTGGCTCTAAGGCTGGCGCGTTGTCTTTGGTATGCGATCGTCTCTTGCTGCGCACACGATCTGAATTATCTGGGATTGACAACTTTCTTCATCTTCCGGGAACCATCGCTCCCACGCCAAGCCTTCTTGCGCCGCTGCTCACCATGGTTCTTCGTCCGGGTCGGCGATGAATCCCAGGAACCATACCGTTTTCGTAGGCGTTTCCGCCTCATCAGACCGCTGTGACGATTCGCGCATCGCATCTGCATTGTCATCGTGGTACGCGCCATCAACTCCAATGTTTTTGTCCTCCTTCTTGCAAGCGACTTCGTCACGGTGATGGTAGGCATCGCGATGTTGACTCTCAGCGCTTTTGGCTGCCTTCCCTTTCAGGGTGGTTTCGGCCTTTGTAGGCCCCGCCTTAGGACTCGCAGCTGGTGCGGCGATCTCATGCTTATACGGACAGCTTTCACCCTTTGTGCGTGCCCAAAGCCAAGGCTAAGGATCTCAAGAAGGGCAAAGGCGATGGGAAGGGGAAGACGACGGTGAACAACAAGGAACAATTTTGCGGAGGACAAGGAATGCGCCAATCAGGCGCAAGGGTCGAAGGGAAATCCAAATCACGTCCAGCGTCGCCATCCAAGATGAAGGCTTGCTTCAAGTTCAAGAAGGGTAGAACACAGGGGCAAACGGTTCTGCTTTTTCGGCCGACTTGGGATTCTTCGGAGTTTTGGCAGGTGTTGCAGTCTCGTCATTCTGCAACATGCTTCTGCCTGAGAGGCTAGCAGGTATCTGTAGTTCTTCTGCGGGCGCTCCTTTGCAAGTCACCAGCACGCATGTGATGAAGGATGTCATTCCATTTCGCCCCGAATACTACAAAGTTCTTCTCTCCCCGCCCCGTCAAACGTCTGGTGTAATCTGCATTTTCCGGGGTTTTCCACTTAAATGTATAAGTGGGGGGCCCATCAAGCCTTTGCGCATGCGCCACATCTGCCCCTCTAGCATCATCAGCTTGCACTTTGCGACTCCCCGCCCTTCCCAGCAAATTTCTTGAACGTGGGGGGGGGGGGGTAGGGAAAGTATCTTTCTACGCGCCCAGGCGCCAAGCTACGTTTTACCCCCCCAAACAAAACACACCTGGGTGAGGGTGCAGAAGTCCCTCCCCATTTTCGGACCCTCAGCGCGTAACATGCTCAATCAATACCAATTCAGATCTGTCGCTAGAGTGGAACAATCTCGTAGCCCTTCACGAGGTTCCGCGTGACGAGTAACATCCAGCGATATGTCGGGGATATTCCTCCACATTGCCTGCAGTTTCTACGTCAGGGCGGGCTGACAAGCTGCATACACTCACAGTCATGGTCATTTTCCAGCTATCGAGCTGGCCAGGGTATCTTTCTCCGCCTCTTTTCTTGCCCGGCCACCTCGGCCCCAATCTCTCGCTGCTCTTCTGTGCATGTTCTTCATCTTCTTCCCTTTCTTCTTCCTCTTCTTCTTCTTCGACGTCGTCGTCATCACCAAGAGGATCGCCTGGAGGATCATACCTCCGGCTGCAAGACATAGTACGTTGCTTCTCTTTTTCTCCCCGCCGCCGACGTATTAGTTGAAGCCCGCACAGTTGCGCGGGAGGCGTCGGATCGCATGTTTGCGGCCTCACTAGGGTCGATGTCAGGAGGGCGTTGGGCGTTGAGTGCCTCCAACATGTACGCCAAATGGCTCCTACCTCTGTGTTGTCACTTCGCCTTTATGTCGGGGTTTTGCAGTGTCTTCCAGTTGGGACACCTGTGTAGAAATTTTCTGGTCGGCCTCCTCCGCATACATCAGTGACGATCTCGTCACAGATTCTTCCTGACGTAGCGCTCCTTTCAGACCATACGGAACGCGAAAAACTCTCGATATCTCTTGCTTGAATTTCCCAACTGTATGTCTTGCAAGTTCATCCTTCTCACTACACGTTTTGCACAAGGTGTGTTGCTCGATTCTCTGAAAGCGCCTTTGTTTCTCTCCAGCTCTCCAACGTGTCCCTTCGCTATGTCCATTCCATGCTTGCGGTGTCTCACTTGTTGGTTGGCAAGATCTCGTGCTTTTCCAACTCTTCTATGCGCGCAGTGCTCCCATACTCCTCATCCTGCATCTCGCCGAGCTTCTCGTTGAACATGTGTGTGGTCCTTGAAACCGACTTCAATCACGCGCCGTCACCTTCGATCGCCTTCGGCTTGGAAGCGACAGGCGATGACTTTGACCTATCCTTCAGCGTCATTCCTTGATGGTGATCTCGATAATTTCTTCTTTCCTTGGTTGCTTCCCCAAAACTCATGGCTTCCTTGGTTCCGCCATGCAACCGATCGATCCATACTATGTAAAGAGCTCGCGCTTGCGTTTTGTGTCAGGAGTGTTTGCAATAGTCGCTTGATCGAACTTCCGGCCACGTGTGGCTGCGCCCTTGAAATATCCATGCGCCGCTTTCTTGGCGGTTGGTGAATAATCCAGCACAATTCTAGATATTGCAGAGCCGCTTACGGCTGATAACCTGTCGGAACGGGAGTAATGTAGAATAACGTAACATGGCACATGTATATGATAATCAGGATGCACCCCTTCCGCGCCGTGAAGGGTAGAACCAACACCGTTGATGGTAAAAACGAAGCAATGCCAGTTTGGGTTGGTGCAGCGGTTGAAGACCCTCGCCTGCTGCCCGCTTGGGGTCGCGCTAGTGGCTCCAAAGGTTGGTCGCACACTTTTATCACTTATGCACATCCGTGTTGTCTTGAGCAAATGAGCGCAACGCAGCAGCACCTCAACACAGAGTTTGGGACCGAAGAAGTAGACAAGGGGATTGCCTGCGTTTCTGGCACGGGGCCTGGGGTCTTCACGCAGCCCCAGCATATCCCCAATTCTGGCCGGGCTTAAGCAGCAAGTCTGGCCTTTGTCAAAACAGGTTGTTGCGCAATCTGCTGAAGGCTCATGATAGGCTTGTGACACAAGTTTCGGAGGATTCCTTGGGCCAGAAAACTGCACTTCGGGGTACCCGGAGGCGGGTTACAACATTGTCCGGTCTGCAATCTTCAAAAGACAAGCACATGCCTATGAACAAATATAGAGATATCCGTTCCACGTAACATCCGACAACCATCAATCCATGCGTCACAGACATGGCTTGAACTGGTTTTTGGCGAAGGAGGGTAGACCTTCCACGGCCCTCTCTGACACACAAGGGAATGTGGAGAAGGACTGCGCCGAGCGTCGAATCAGTCAATCATCAACAGACGCAACTAAGAGAATCGTGCCTTGCTAAACATTGTCTACAATGCTTCACGCATATGTTCAAGTCTTGCGACAGCAGGCTTTCCTCCAATAGGGTCCAGGGTGTACGAACTCTGGTCTATCAAGCAGTTTAAGAACTGTGCACGATGGGCCGGCCAAATGCCACTCCTTGCAGCCCTTAAGCCCTTGAACAAGACCCGGACTAACGCAAGTTGGCTGCAGCGATGCCTGGCAGCGGCTGCCAGCTCAGCTGAGAACTGCTTCAAAAGCGCTGAAGACATCTAGCTGGGTGGGGAAAGGAAAGGGGAACAAGGCGGATACGAAAAGCAGTCGAAGAGTCCGCTGTGTTCAATGTTGATTGGGGTTTGGGGAAAACTGTGTTGAGAAGGCAACCAAGCAAGCAAGACCCCGCACACGTGACAAGCCACATTCCTTGGGGTCAGGATACTTTACAGAACTGATAACCGTTGCGCAACAATCATTCTAGGGAAAACCCGACGACGCTGGCACGCAACGAGTCTCTCGCACAAGGCGCGTTGCAAAAGAAAGCACCTTACTACTGATATAGCTTCAAAAGAGCAGGTCTGATCAGAGCAAAGTTCTCAAGCTTGGCTACGCACTCCTGTGATGGGAGGAGTCACAGCTATGTAGCAGCGGAGTGTGAGGCCTAAGCGAATGAGTCTGAAACACATCCGTCGTCCAAAACAGGCATGGCGCGCTGCGCTCCGCGCCTCAACTGGTCACACTGCGTCGTGTAGCGGAATCAGAGCAAACGCTCGCCCGCCTGCTGCGCATCGTCCAGTAGCGCCAAGGCCTCGTTTGCCTGCCCGGCGGGCGCCGTAAACTACTGCTTCCCGGCCATTCCAGACAAAGCTTCGCCTCTGCGGTCTTACCAAACAGCACACAACCAAAGCAAACAGCAGACAGCCAAACGCAAAGAAAAAGGAAAGGCAGGCAGGCAGGGAGGCAGGCAGGCAGGCAGGCGAGCAGGCAGGCGGCAGGCAGGGGCTCGGCCCGTGTCTGTGTTTCTTGGGAGACACGCAGACAGACACGGGCCGAGCAGGGACAGAAAGAGATGTAGACAGAGACGGAGAAAAAGGGACGGAAATAGAAAGGCAGACAAAGCAGACAGGCAGACACGCAAACACACAGCTTTGTCTCCCTGTGTCTCGCTTTGTCTGCCTTTGTCTCCCTTGTCTCCTTTGTCCTTGTCTCCCCTTGCGCCACGCGTAGCTTTGGGCTGCCTGGGCGGGTTCCTGCCGCCTTGTCTCCCTTGCCTTTGTCTCCCTTCACGCGCCTGGCTCCTGCCTTGTCTCCCTTTGTCAAGTTTGTCTGGCTGGGTTCGCCTGGGGGTTGCTGGGCTGGATGCTCTCCTCTTTGCCTCCCATGTTCGTGCGCCTGCTGGGACGGGCTCGGTCAGCACTTGTTTCCTCATGCGCTTTCTGGGATGCTGTCAAGAGATGGTTTGGCTCGCAGCTCTTTGCCTCCCCACGTGTTTCCATTTGTCTTTTCCTCTTGCGCTTGGCTCGGTCACCCGTTTGCCTGGCTCGGTCAGCCCTTTGTCTCCCCACTTGTGTCCTCACGCGCTTGCTGGCTGGATGCTGTCACGAGATGGTCTGGCTCGGTCATCTTGATTCCATTTCTACCCCGAATTGTTTTCTGACGCGCTTGCTGGGCAGGACGCTGCGATGACACGTTCTGGCTCGGTCAGCTCTTTGTCTCCCCAGTTGTTTCCACTTGTCTCCCGACTTATTTCCTCACGCGCTTGCTGGGCTGATTGCTGGGATGGTCGGTCGCCTCTTTGTTTCCGCTTGTTTGCATATGTCTTCCCGCTTGTTTCCTCACTCGCTTGCGGGTCTGGTTGCTGTTACGAGATGGTCTGGATAGGTCAGCTCTTTGTTCCCCCACTTGTTTCCTCACACGTGCTTGCTGGGGCTGGACGCTGTCACGAAATGGCCTGGCTTGCTCCACTTGTTTCCGCGCTTTTGCAGGAAAGCGGCCTGCCGCAAGCTATGTTTCACGAGGTCTGGTTGCAACTGTCCGGGGTCTTCGGTGGTGGAATTTGTCACGGTCAGGTAGGACTTTTGCCGGTGAAGTAGTTTTTTACAGGTGAGGTGTAGAACTGTGGTGTGAAAAGTGTAAAATCGCTTGAATTGTTAAATATTGCATATTTTGTCATTGAAATTCCACAAGCTGGACTACTGAAAGAACAGGGCTTTATGAAAGGTTTTGACTAGTCTGATGTTGATTATTGTAAGTACCGCTTTCATTGCAGACAAAGAACGAGACTATGGACAAGTTGTAAAAGTTGGAATTGTGCAACTACGACTGCGGTAAAGTTGTCAAAAACCAACATGTTGAAGCAGCGGTCGTAAAGGGTGCCGGGTTGAAAACTATGTAAAAAAGCATAAGCAAGAGGAGCCTCACAATCTCCCGAATGAGTTGGTTTGTGAATCTGAATACTATTAGCATATTCAATGTTCCTTATTCCTGTTGCTTTTGCTCTGCTGTATTCTGTACACGGTGGCGAAGTCCAAATAAAACCAAACTGGCCCTTGCCAAATGGTTTATAATCCCATTTTTAAATGTCTTGGTGTCAGTGTTGTTCAAGTCCAACGTTGTTACATGAAACCCTGGCGACTTTGCTATGTTTCCAACTGAACCGGTGCCTGAAAATAGTTCTAATAAACTCATTTATTATCAGAACGATTTAGACTTTCATTATTCGTAAAGTTTCTGTCTGCATTGGTTTATTAATAATCTCTACTGTCTCTATCAACGTCTTTTGACTGAGATTGTCATTGTTGTTATTGAGACTTGGTTTGCTTTCCATTTGTTTGCTACTCTGTCTAAATTCCGCACTAATGAAGTCAACTGTCAGAGACATCAACTCTATGTGTTCTAGCGTTATTCAACCTTTCCCTTGCTAGATACTACATTAACTAGACGACGGGTGGCCCGAAAGCGTTTTCCATGTGTTTTACTGCCTACTCTGCGCATGCCTCTATGCATTTCACTCTTTACTTTCCCTGTGCATGCATCTATGCACTTCACTCTGCGCTTGCCCAACGCATGCCTCTTTGCGTTTCATTGTCTACTCTGCGCACGCCTCTATGCATTTCTGAATGAGATATCGTGAGTGAGTGAGTGAGTGAGTGAGTGAGTCAGTCAGTCAGTCAGCCAGTCACTCACTCAATCACTCAGTCAGTAAGTCAGCCAGTTAGTCAGTGAGTAGTGTAGGAGTCGAGTGGGGTGCAGTGGGGTGGAGTGGAGTGGAATGGAGTGGAGTGAAGCGGAGTGGAGCGGAGTGGGAAGTGGTTTGTGGGTGGGTGAGTGCGGGTGAGTTTGAGAGATAGTGAGTGAGTGAGTGAGTGAGTGAGTGAGTGAGTGAGCGAGCGAGCGAGCGAGTGAGTGAGTGAGTGAGTGCGTGAGTGCGTGAGTGCGTGAGTGCGTAGGCGTGAGTGCGTGAGTGCGTGAGTGCGTGAGTGCGTGAGTGCGTGAGTGCGTGAGTGCGTGAGTGCGTAAGTGCGTGAGTGCGTGAGTGCGTAAGTGCGTGAGTGCGTGAGTGCGTGAGTGCGTGAGTGCGTGAGTGCGCGAGTGCGTGAGTGCGTGAGTGCGTGAGTGCGTGTGTGCGTGAGTGCGTGAGTGCGTGAGTGCGTGAGTGCGTGAGTGCGTGAGTGCGTGAGTGCGTGAGTGCGTGAGTGCGTGAGTGCGTGAGTGCGTGAGTGCGTGAGTGCGTGAGTGCGTGAGTGAGTGAGTGAGTGAGTGAGTGAGTGAGTGAGTGAGTGAGTGAGTGAGTGAGTGAGTGAGTGAGTGAGTGAGTGAGTGAGTGAGTGAGTGAGTGAGTGAGTGAGTGAGTGAGTGAGTGAGTGAGTGAGTGAGTGAGTGAGTGAGTGAGTGAGTGAGTGAGTGAGTGAGTGAGTGAGTGAGTGAGTGGAGTGAGCGAGTGAGCGAGCGAGCGAGCGAGCGAGTGAGAGAGAGAGTGAGTGAGTGAGTGATTGAGTGAGTGAGTGGGTGGGTGGGTGGCTGGGTGAGTGAGTGAGTGAGTGAGGGAGGGAGTGAGTGGAGCGCGAGCACTTTGCAGTTGTCGGCATTCACGGCCATTGTGGACTTGTGGAGCTTCGTGTCTCCTGTGCGGAACGTCATCATTTTGAGGTTGGCTGGCAGCTGCTGGCCACCCCATCCGCTTTGAGCGTGCGCTGCTGTTGTCTCATTCTTAGCACGGGCTTCCGTTTGGCAAAAGCGCAGTTTTCCCATTTGTCTTGCCATTTAAGTGCGCCAACGCACGGCGTCTGAGAGAGGCGCTTCTCTTGTTTTTGTCACTCAAGCCCCACCCTTGTTGGGAGTTGATTGGGAGCAGATTTTGTGTTGATTCGGGCTGCTCTCTTATTGAAACTGTAAAGACATGTGAGTTCGGGGAATTGTTGCTTGTGTGTCTTCTTGGCCGAAAACTGTAGTGTTGCATAGGTTGGCTGAGGCCTAGACCAGATTGATTTGGGGTTAGATTGCAAAAGCTTTGTTCGAGCCTTGCGGGTTGTCATTTTGGGTTGAGGATTAGTCCAAGTTGCTCGTTCGTTTCCTGTTTTTTTCGGCGGGGGCCGGAGTTGTTGATCATGATATGGGGGTTGTTGCGCATTGTTGTTTCTAACTGTTTAGGGGTTGCTAATGGGCGGGCAATATGGGCTGGGAGCAGAGAACCACTATCAGACCTCTGCTTGCGCAGCCTTGCACCACGAGCCTAGCATCTTAAAACGCCCAATGCCAAATCTGCTAGGAGAGGGAAAACCTGAGGCCCAGAATCAATGGTCGTTTTGTCAGGCTTGGTCCATGGCACAGCTTGCCTCTTTGCAGGCACGCAGCGCTGCATTGAAGGTGACCAGGCCAGGACTGGCTTGGACGGGACACGCTCGCAGCCAGACACATAGAGCCGCACATAGCAAGTGGTGCTGGGTCCATCTGGAAGTCCAGCTCTTCAAGCTTAGGGCAAGGAGGCTCTGCAAAGATTCTGAAGGCTTTGATAAGACTATAACTGCACCAGTGAGCAAGTACGTGTCCTCAACATGATCAATTCGTTGACCTAATTCGGTGACTCAGATCTAGTTCCGTCGTGGACCGCACAACTACCCAACCGCTCTCGCTGTGCACCCTACGCCCGGCCTTTGCCGTGCTGAGCGGAGTAACTTTATTGCCTGTGCCAATGCCAAGGGCTGTTGCGTCATAGATACCTGCACTTCAGTGGTGTCGGAGGGTTTGCGAGCAACCGCGATATCGTGGGAATTGACATGGGCCATATAGGATCCACTTCTAGACACTTAACATGGGGTCAAGCGGTGGCAACCCATCAATTAAAGACAAAATGACTAACAACCAACCTCAAACACCAGGTTGTAAAGATATCCTCTAAGGCGACTCCTTTACGTCGCGTCCGGGTCTCGAGGAATATCATGGGTTGGGCAACCTTGCGCTATTAATTGACTGAACTACGTGGCAACAAGCGTCTCATTCAGGTCTTCGAGTGTGCCACCCCTGCCTCCTGTGCTTCCTGCGTTTCTGCCCCAGCAAAGAAGCACCGATGCACCGGGTTCAATTTCAACCATTGACATATTTGTTAATCATGGGCACAACGCGACTCCAACGAAGACACGTTGCAAGGCACGCAAAGGAAAGAACACACGCAGCAACGCAACGCGCCGCAACGCGCACACCCACATCCGTTTGCACTCACGCACACTTACACCCGCGCGCCTCACATGGACACAGAGACAAACACAAACACACACGTGCGCGAAGACAAAAAATGCAAAAGACTCCCGGAAGGGAAATTACGTGCACATGTTTGTTCGTCTTAATTCGGGCAAAATGCAAGCGGGGAGACGACGCCTCTCTCCCTGCCTGCGCACTTTCAGATGCCGCAGCGAGGGCCTGCACCACCACTGGCAGAAAGCTCTCAGCCTCGAGTCACTTGGCAAGGGCCACTACCGCGCAACGCCCTGGAATTTGGAATTACCTGGCGGACCTGGCATGGATTTGGAAAACAAGGCCACGAGAAAGCCACAAACTGCGTGACTTGCCCGCAACTCAAGCCTCGGCCCATTCTTGTAGCAACGCACCGAGTCAGCACCAAGTTAAAGACTCCATAACATCTTTCAATTCAGATCCAGAAAAAGGATTTCATGACCCTTTTATGCAGTCGATCGCCTTCTACTATCCAACTCGAAATATTGGATGACAAGCGTGGACCCGTTTAAGAGGACAATCAAGTTCAAAAAGGTCGATGTGGCTGTGCTCTCCAACGCCGGCACATGCTCAGACACTCCGTCCCGCTCCCCCACGAGCCTGCCCTGATCTTCTCACTATGCTCAAAGCCTCAAGGCAAAGCAGTGATTGTCACACGCATTTAGCGTGATAGCGCTACTCACGCAGTGAGTGAGGCCTGATGGCCAAACGATGCACTTGTTGAGAAGCAACTTCCCCTCGCACAATAAGGCCAGATACGGCGCTACTGCGCAGCTTTACCAGCTTTAACAGCTGTGACCAGCGAAGCCTCGTGTCAGCCACAGGACAGACGTGCAAACACAACTGCAGCAGATTGGTGTAAAACACAGCGACAGCATCACCTCGAACACTTTTGGCTGCCCGTTGGCTTCCTGCGGTTCCAAGATGAACACGGGACACACTCTAGGCGACAACCTTCGTTGGCAAATTATCTTCAATGCCACAAACAAACGTGGTTGACAACACTTATCATGTTGACCATCTTCGGGGTCGCTCAAAAAGTACAAGGGTGTCAAGCTGCAGGCGTTATTTCAGGACAACGCATCCATTGCTTGAGGATTGTTTTTCGCACTTGCCCTCAAATTGTGGTTTGATGCTTCCTCTGCTCAGCTTGCTGTTGCGTTGGGTTACGCCGTGTCGCTGCTGCCTGCTTGCTTGCGCCCATGCTCACTTCATTGCGCGCTTCATGGCCTGCCTGATTTGCTGCTTGTTGTTTGGCGTTGTTCTGTTCAACCTGGTTCTGCAGCTGCTTCTGCGGCAATGTCGCTCGCAGTTGCTTTCCGCTGCTTGCTGCGCGCTTCTGTTGGCTGTTGTTTGCTGTTCATTTGTCCTTTCTGTCGCGAACCGCATGACAGAACAACATAACCCTTCAGGCTCGAGTCTGCGATGGAATATGTGTGGGCCACTCCTGTAGCTCCCACGCACATTTGGTTCGCTTGCTAGGCTACATGTGAAAGACTGCCGAAACCATTTGCTTGGCCTCAAAAAATATCTTGAAGTTATCGATTTTCAGGGGGGTCCTTATCGTTCTACGGGGTTTTGTGCAGTTCAGGCATGCAATTCAACCCCTGTTGATAAAGCGGTCTTCGCAAATATTGGCCGCGCTATCGATAGTTGTGTGTTCGTTCTTCGCCTCCAGCTCCCAGCAAGTGTAGGACCAATCAACCAGTCCGTATGTCCTGCCATACATCGGTCACAAGAGACAGACGTGGATTCCGGTTGCAACAAATCACCATCACCGTTAGCAAACGCAAGGAGGAAAGCACTCACAACTCACAGCGCCAAAGTCAGCTGAGACGCTCTTCGCCAGCGAAAGGACATGGCGCCGAGGCCCACGCAAAGTGCCTGGAGGTGTGTGGGTGCTTATTGGCAAGTGGGGTCCCAGAGCGCCAAACAATCTGCTGGAAGGAGCAAACTATATTCTCGCACGCGGGTGGGCAAGTATGCGCCGTGGGGCGCGCTCACCTTATTCAGAGTGCCTCTATGGTAGCAAGGCTTCATCTTGGCTTTACACAACCTGGCAATGAGCAGTGAATTACAAGTCTCCCTCCCGGCGCAATCCGAAAACTAGGGGCGTCCAGCCAAGCAGGCGTCATCGTATAAGGGGAAAAACTAACTACGGTTGCAACAGAGCATTGGGGACATCTGCGCAACACCAAACACGTGGGTGACGCACTCATGCACAGAGAGCTTCCCAACAACGCTTTGCTACGAGATCCAGTAGAAGGAGTCAACTGTTTCAGCCCTGAAGAAGTACTTCCCGAAGTGCAGGACCAGCGTGTATCTGTATCGACCCTTAAGTTTCTTCAATTGCAGAAGGCGCAACTCAGAGCTCCTCATTTTCATCTGCAGGCTTGAGATCCTTCTGCGCGACTAAAAGCCGCATGGCATGACCTGATGCTCGTCATGACGGCGCAATCACAAAATTATCTTCAGTCACTGCGAGATGAAAATCAGAGAAGAGCCGCGCGACACAGCAAGCATGTTTTCGAGGAACATTTAAATAGAACAGTACACATATGAGATGCTGATGACACAGTATCACGACTTCTCCGTCGCAACCAGAACTACGACCCAAGGTCCAACACTTTGACCACCAGGAAGTTTGCATCTTCTACAGCCTCGAGCAAGGAGAATGCGAAGATGGAACTAAAGCCTTCATGGGGCATTCTGGATTTGAGGATCATGATGCGTTCGTAGTCAGAAAGGTGTCAGGGCGAACTCAAGATCAGGAAGACGGGCGTGAAAATCAAGAGGCAAAGGGCAATCGCCGATGAGGCGGTTTCACAAGACGGAAAGGCCAATGTGGCTACTGAACACCAGGACCCCTACAACCAGGCATGTCGGGAAAAGGCAAAGCAAAGAAAGGAGCGTACCCTTCGATGGAAACAAAGATAATCCATCCTAAGAGTGGAGAAGACAACGGAGAGCCCAAAAAGGACTAACCCGCCAGGCTGACCCAGCGCGGGACATGCGATGATGACAAAGCTAATGCAATCCTTGACAACGGGTGCGCTGGGATGCTGGCATGCACTCCCGGGATTCACTCAGGGCATCGATGCAATGAAGAAGCAGACCAAGTTCCTTTGGCACGGTCAACAACACCTGGCACCTCAGGTATCATACGATGCCTCCAGCTACATGATTATTGAGCGCGCTCCTCAGTGTGACAAAATCACATGTGAAGCTTTTGGCCCGCGCAGGCAACCAGTTCCAGCTTCAGGTGCCGGACATGCTCTCGTCGATCTTGCAGGTGTGGCAAAGTTCAGGAATCATGCAGAGATCGCTGCGAAATGCTTCAATCATGTCGTCTATGATGACGATGCAAGCATCACGTTCCTTCCAGCAGAACCTGGGACATCGAAAGTCGTATGTGCTTCCAAGTGATCGCCAGCAACACAAAACACAGTAACTCTAAAAAATACGGAGTCAGTTAAGCAAGATCACTGGATTCTTGAGAACAACCAACTCACTCGCGCACACATCACGCCTCGAAAGGCACTGATCGCACCAGCAGGAGAGAAGGAACGATGCAGCCGAAGATGGAGATCCAGACGTGTTTGACAACAATGGCAAACCGAGCAACGGTAAACCTGTGGACAGGTAAAACCGTCCTCACATTTGCGGACAACCTGCTAAGGATGAAGAAGAGGCCTTTGGGGTCAGCAGCAGACAGGACAATCGACAAAAGGGGTTGGTCGACCACTGAGACAGCCATCAAGAAGACAGATAGAATCCGCCGACGCCAGTCGAGCGTGTAGATGGCAGTCCGCAACTTGGTCTTCTTTCGGAATCTCTTATCAAAGCCGAGGGCTTTTGGGCAGCCGGCTGCATTCCCAGCATTCCCGACATCTCTGGTATTTTCTGTGTTTGGTCACTTTTGCGTGTCTGAAAGTCTTGCATTTTTTTGATGCGAAGATTGGGTCTGTGCCAGTACGTTGTGTGGTTGCATCCCTTGCATGTCCAGCATCCCCAGCATCACTTCCATGAAAAAATGAGAAAGGTCTTAAAGTCCGCCCCACTCGCGTCGGCGGACCGCGTAGCGATTTCAATTGACAGCGATGCAGATCAAGCAGCCGGCAAAAACCGTCAGCCTGAAGACATCACATTAGACCTTGCGCAGAATCTCAGAATGAGCTCTAAGCCGCTTCAAGCAGGAGAATAGTCCAAGATTCGTTCTGATGGACACAAAGGAGGCATGCGGTTGAAAGGAAATGTCGTTCCTGAGAAGGAGCAATGGCAAGTCCTGATCTTGGATCCGACTCATCAAGGTCAACATGACGACAAAGGCTCGAAAGGAAGAGACCATTCCGCCTGGCAAACCAGGAAGAACTCTTATTGCCAGATGAGAAGGAACTCTACTACATACCAAAACAAACACATTCGAAAAGTGTCAGAAAACGAAATCATGTTCTGGAGATCTTTGCAGGAAGTGCAAAATTCAGCCAACGCTGCGCACTCACAGGATTGAGGTCGGAACCCTCATTGACATCAGAACTCCCAAGTGATTTTAGTTTTTTGCGCATATGGACTGAATCCGGGCTCAGAAGCGCGAAGCGACAAGCCTGCTTCACATTTTCCCTCTGAGCTGATGAAGCCAATCTTGAGAAAACGCAAGTATTTTACTAGCTCAATGAGACATGAGCATCAGACATTGGAAGGGAATGCAAGCGCTTTCGGAAGCAGAACCAAACTAGCAAGGGTGTGTCCTACCAGTTCTGCTCAGGGCCGCGCGCCCATCACTTTGCGTCACCTCAAGATGAAACCGCTTGACAACGAGGTGTGCCTTCTAGAGGGCATCTTTGAGCCTTTCACCAATGAGCAGGTAGACGCTCTGCGCAAGGAGATGGATGCCATTGATAGGAGCACAACATGGCCAGCAGTGTTGCTGCAAAGGCCAATCTCCATTCAACCGACAAGCTCAACCATTAGCCATCAATGACCCAGTAGTCCAGAGGCTTCAGGAAACTACGAAGCAGGTCTCAGTAGGCAAAAAGATTGAAACGACGCGCGGTCATCCGCCACCCGCACAGTGTAAAAGACGTGCGGCGTATGTTGGTACGATTGGAACCAACATGCACTTACATCACCCAGATGATGCGTGCGTGTTCTTGTGGCAGCCAGGTCAGCTGAATAGAGTTTGGGTCACGCCCTCATACAAGTGTGGTTGGGGTGAGTTTGATCATCCACGACAATGGCATGCGATGTTCATAGGTCACCAGGGCCGCCGGACCAGCACATGGCACATCCTTCCTCCGACCCGCCGGACCAGCAAGCATGAGTCGGGCAAACAGCAAAGGTTCCTCCTCAAGTGAAGTGGACACAATAATGTTTCTGGGCCGACCCAGCCGTAGCCAATGAAGACGAGCTCTTGAACTGCCTCTTAAGCAAGCAGACACAAAGGAACCTCAGTTACAGAGCAATCCTCCCAAATTGGTCAAAAATCAACGCCGAACCCTCTCCAAGAAATGACCCACCAGCTCTTCCTCGGAGAGAGAAAACCGAACAATCCAGCCAGGATTCAGGCGATGAAGAAGAACTCATTTCCCACGTTCCGCTCAGCTCGGAAATTTTCTGAATCAAGACGAAGATGACGGGTCATATGATTGAAGCGCTGTGGTCCTACATGACCGCCGATCAGAAAACCTGTTCCAAGACCGGATCCTGTGCTGTTCCAAACCCTTGTTCTACCTGACACAGTCAAACCAACTTCTCGGTGTGGATTCACTCCACAGTGTGGATCATCTATGCAGGCAAGTAAATTCCTGAAGACCAAGGCTCGCTTGGTCCTCAGAGAATTCCAAGATAAGCAGAAGGACGATCAGCAAACTGAAAGCCCAGCTGCGCCAACAACTCACTTTCGATTGGCAATCCAAGCAGCTGCAAATAAGGGCTGGAATGTCTTTCCCATGAATCTCAAAACAGGCATATCATCAGGACCGCGAAATCATTTGTTAGAGATTCCTCCTGAAATGGGAAACCCGTCGTAGATTGGCCCAGGGGTGAAGAAGCCTGCGGACGGGCTAAATGACGCACCACACAGAAGGTGGAGTATAAGCTGATGGACTTGCACAAAAAAGAGCAGACCCATGCACATATGTATACCATGGTAAGACTCTCCCCCGGTGAGGCACCAATCAGAGGAAAAAAATCAAATATGTTTGGTCTTGAAACAGCCTTTTGATTATCGTGCGGGTCCTGTTTCAGGAAACAGCACCCAGAACCGACAGACAAGTTCATGGAGTTCTTTTTCTTCATGATGCATTCCCGGTTTGTTGAAAAGATAAGAACGGTTGCCTTCTTGTAGTTAGCAGGTCCAGTGGGAGCTAGGTGAGAAACAGGGTTGGCACATCAATGCCCACCAGACAGGCCGCACCTACTACTCAAGACATTGTTCCCACGCAACGATAAGTCCAGATATGGGCTGGCGTTGGTGTTCCCGAAGTACGACGGCTACACAGAGCATCAGGAATCAGGCAATGTGGCACTGCCAACCAGGTGGATCAGTCAGGGAGATTACGCCAGCGCTCAAGCCGGGCATAAGTGCGAGTTCCACGGCGACATGCAGGTGTGCGCCAAGGCAATTGCACGGGATACGTCGAAATCAGGAGCCTTGGCCGGCCTGCCTATCAGGACCAGTCAGGAGCACCGCCAAACAGTCCCCATCACGCAAACAATCGCCAAGAACAGCACACCGTCAATCCGTTCAGAACGCCGCGCATGTGGAATAGCGACGGGAATGAGCTGCGCAAGTATCTCCAGGATGGATTGACGCCCGGCAAGGAACTTCATCAGGGCGGCCGTCAACACATTCACGTGGCATGTGTTGATGACTTCGTGGCAGG